ATTCTCCTTCAGCCCAGCCTTGTTCATCCCCCATTCTCCTCCCCTAGGAAGTCTCTGACCATATGTGTGGGACAATCTCCCATCCCCCAGGGAGACAGGACCAGAGACTGGATAGGAGGAAATGTTGCAGACGTGGAGATATGGCTAGTTCCCACTGCCAGGGATGTGCCCAGGGCTTTGCCTGGACAACGCTGGGGATCTCACCTCAAAAGAATTCTCCTTGTATCTTCGGTTCCCTGCACATATCTGGGTGGTGGCATCGTAATGTTTGTAGTGATGGATGCATTGCTCGTCTGTTTGGACTTCAAGCTCTACCTCCTGCAGTTTTGCTGCTGCAGGTTTGTTCACGCCAAGAAGCCCCCATCCGGCCACACTGCACACCATGCCTGGCTTCACCGGCTCCTTCCCCTGGGGCAGCCGGATGGGGCTCACAGCGGTGGTCAGGTTGGCCTTCCTCGTCAGCTGAAGGCAGAGGAAAGGCATTCTAACCTACCCATGGCCCACAGAGACCGCAGGGACAGTCGTAGGGTTGCTTTCTTCACAGCTCTGGGATAATTGAAGGGGTTGTACTGGAAGGAGGGACAGGAGTGAGGTGATGGGGGAGGCAAAGCTCTGGGATTAAAGTGTGTGAGAACCGGCACAACCACGTGCCCTACCTGCAGTAACATGATGTCGTTGGCCACGTTTTCATCATCATAATCTGGGTGGGGGATGGCTCTTCTCACCTGAATGACCTGCTGGGTCCCCTCCTGCTCATCAATGTTGTGGTCCCCAGGGTGACGTTGATTGAGCTGCACAGAGAGCAGAGAGGGAGGTGGAGTCACAGGTTTGGGACAGGGCAGGACTGGTGTAGAGAGAATTCTAGGCAGTGGGGCCCTGGGGCAGAGCATCTCTGTTCTGTCCGCTTGCGGGCAGCCCGGGCTGGGCGGCAGTTCCTGGAGAGCACTTAGGGTGCTGAGTCCTGCACAGAGCCTGCCTACCTGTAAGCCAGTCTGTGCATCTGTCTCACATTTGCACTCTGGGCTCCAGGGCTTAAGCTTGGCTTCCTTCCATCCCACCTTTGGGCAGTTCCTTTCTCCGCAGGCCACTCGCATTGATCTGTCCCTCTCTCCTCAAAGCTTAGCTGTCCTCCAAAGAGCTCGTCTGTGTTACTAGGTGGCCCAGGCCTGCGGCCCCTGAGAAGAGGGCTCCCTGTGAGGCGCTGACAGAGGGGCGGGGGCCCAGGCGCTGCTCCTCACCTGCCCCAGCAGTGAGCTGCTGTCAGCACGAAGTCCTCACGCACCAGAAAACCGCCACAGAATATAATGTTCCTTGAAGTCTGGATCTGAAGAAATGCCATGTAGGGACGAGAATGCGGCTCGGCCTCATAGCCCCTGATGATTTTCCCTAAAAGAAAGATCCCAGCCTGCCTGTGTGCTCGTGGAGCCAACGGCTGGAGCAGGCAGATGAGGTCAGATTTGCCGGTCTCTGAGGGAGTTGGGCACAGTCCAGAAAGTTTCGGCAGGTAGACCATCCAGGATGCGTATGAGCGTAGTGTCTCAGCAGGTATGTCCAGTGTGGGATGGGCCTGGGCCTCTGTGGGCGGGGACAGTCACTCACCTGCCTCCCCGGTGGCGGACAGAAGATGGGCTGCCAGGAGCAGAAGCAGGAGCAGCTCTCCACGAAGGCTGCCCAGACCTGAGCTGCTGGTGCTTCCTTGCAGTGTTTTAACCTTAAGTGTCTCCTCCGATGTTGTGGCCTGCATCCTACAAGGCTTCTCCGAAATCCTCACGCTGCTTTTTGATCAAGTCCTTGGGTCTGAGTGGAGTACGAACTTGTCAGAGCACCAGTAGCTCTTGGCTTGGTGCCAACTGCAGCAGCAGAAACAGGAAATGAAGCTACAAGTGAAGGGTGGTTGGAGATGTTGTATCCGCCAACAGCTGGTCCCCCACCCTAGCAACCTGGGTCTTATGATAATAGATCAAAGAACGTCGTCATTTCTGTAGTTTACTATAGATCACCAGGGTAATTCTTTATTGAGGCCCCTTTTGTGGGAGACTGTGGGGGACATTGGAGATGAGAATCCTCGCTTCTAGGGGAGGAGACAAAACCACCAGTGATCAGACGAGGGTGGTGAAGGCCATGGTTAGAGGGATGGACAGAATGGTGTGGAGTAATGTTTTAATTACTGAAGAACTGAGTGGGTTAACAGAACGACATTGCTTTTACCCAGGAGTCTGCATTTTGGTCAGGGTGCAGTGTGGATGTCTCCCCTGTGCTACCCTTGCTGTCAAGGTGGCTTGAAGCCCGGAAGCTGGAACCACCTGAGGGCTCGCTCTCACACGCCCAGTGCTTGGTGCTGGCTGCTCACTGAGCACGTTGGTTTCTCTCCATGAGGGCCTCTCAAGTAGTCTCAGTTGTTTGGTTCTCTGCCAGCATGGTGGTTGGCTTCCTCAGAGTGAGTATCTTCTACAGAGCAAGCCGGGCAGAAGCTGTGTTGTTTTTATTACCTAGATTTTTAAGTCATATGGCCTCTATTCTACCATATTCCATCTTGGACAATCAAGTGCTCCCACCAGATTAAAAAAGAAGGGCTACAGACCCCACCTCCCAGCGGGAGGAGTGATGTAGTCATGTAAGAGGAACCTGCAGGGTGGAGACAGACAGTGGCAGTCCCAGCGGAGCACAGCCTACCTCGGTGCTACAGGTGCCTGTGGTCAGGGCGCTTGAAACCACTGACCTACCACAGCCTAGTCAGAGCCTTTGACTAGGCTGGGGTCTGCTCTGTCCAATCCACATATACTGAGAATGGAAGAAGAATGGCTCTCCCGAAAGTTATTCTCTTTGATGAATTACTGATACCACGTGAAGTGGGAAAGGATGCCAGGGAGCCAAAGTAGAATTCCCACACCACTGTCCAGAGAATTGCACTTCTAATATCCCTGTACCATTTGCTAAACAAGTTATCCTGATCATGTCCCCGTAATGGAAAAGGAGAGAGCCACGGAGGTGAAATTATTGTTAGTTCTAAACATCTTGAGTCCAAGTCTCTTAAAAAGCAACAAAACTATAGCTAAAGATAAAGCACATTGTCAGTAGTGATTCTGGCTGGAGAGCCACAGCAAACAAGAGCTCGGATGAGGACCGGAAGGACACTCTGCCCAGCTGAGAAGGAGGAACTTCTCAGGAGATCCACCCCTGCCCTGGGCCTGCTTCCCGGGCTGTGGGAGAGAAATGTCTGCTCAGGAAGGCCCCTCCCTCCCCGGTGGGGGCTCTGTCCTTGAGTGGCAGCCCCAGCCTGTGCCTGCCTGGTGCCCGGGACCCGTGGTGTCATCCCCTCCTCTCTGTCATAGGACACAGGGCAAGGAGGTAAGGCACTCTGGCCCCGGACCAGAGAGGTTCCTGTCTTCTCCTGATGGTGCTCAGCTTCAGCCCTGGCAGGAGGGCAGGCCCTGGAAAGCCAGGTGTGCGGGACCTGGGTATAGCTTTGCACGGGGTTTAGGGGAAGTGATGGTGGGAGGGGGAAGAGGAGGAAGCAGAAACCAGCAGAACAGTGTCCTTGGCTTTCGAAGCACAGAGCTGGTGCCTGTGAATGGGGGTCAACAAATAAACAAGGAACCAACTCTTCCTGCTCAGCTAAGAGGCTTTATTCCGTTGCTGGCCCCCCAACCCAGTGTGATTCTAGATCAGCTCCAGGGAAGACGGTCCGGTTCTTGCAGGTGGAGACTTTTCATGGTTTTCTTTATCCAGGGCAGGAAACTTGAGACTTTGGTGCAGGCCCGTGGAGTGGACCCATCTTTTTGTCCATAGGAGACAATGCCCTGGGCCACATTGTCACACACGAGAGGGCCCCCGGAGTCCCCCTGAGGGCAGAGGGAGGGAAAGGACTGAGCCCGCTCTCCTCCTGGTCCCGCCTCCCCTGCCCTCCCAGGCCCCCTCTCGGAGGAGGCCCCGCCTTGCATGGCCTCTACGTAGGAGGTCAGAGGGCAGGGCTGGCTCCCATGGACCCCTCGGCTGCCAAGCCCTGACCCTGGACATTGTCACTGCTTCACTTCACCCCGGGTGGCAGCTCCTTCTCCTCCCCCAGGTCCCTGATCCTCTCCCTATGAAGGTGCTGTGGGATGGTGGCTCCAGGCTGCTGTTTAAGGACAGGGAAGCAGGTGGGTGGGGCTGACACTCAACACGGAGGACGAGCCCTTAATCAAGGTGTGTTCCAGCTCTAAGAGACACCTGGTTTTAACTACCGCACACTCAGGTAGCACAGTTTTCTAACACCTGTGCCTCACTGTATTGCAAATTCCTCCTTCTGGAGGGGAACCTGTTTGGATTCGCTCTAGGTCCTTTGTAGCCTTGCAGAGGCCCTAGACACTCCCAGCTCTGGCTGTTCCCCTCTTGTCTTCCTGGACAGAAAGATCCCAGCCTAGAGGGTGAGGCAGTCCCCACGACTTGGGTCCTCAGGTCCCAGATCTCCCAGAGCCAAGCAAGGCGTTCTGTCATTCTCACCTTAAAGGAAGCTTTCTTTTTCTTTGGGTCCCCCACACACAGCTGGATGATCTTGTTGTAATAATTGCGTAGGTGGGATTCACACTTTTGATCCTCTTGCACAATCAGCTTTACCTCCTGCAGTGTGTCTGGGTAATTGTCCATCGCCACCACCACCTGCCCCCAGCCGGCCACATCGCATGCCTGTCCTGGCTTCACCCGGGCCCGGCCCCCTGGGCAGCCTGAGGGGCCTCACAGCTGCCGTCCGCTTGGCCTTTCTCTCCAGCTGATGGGGAGAGATAGGGTCCAGCTCAGCCAGCGGCCTCCGGGCCGGGACACTGCAGTGAGACCGCAGAGCCCTCGCTCCCACCTGAGCCCCGGGGACAGGTCGGGTGGCCAGGACGGGAGGGAGGAAAGGGACTGGTTGCAGTGGGAGGGAAGACAGTGTTTCCAGGAGGGCAGAGAAGCAGGGAGGTTTCCTTACCTGCAGTAACATGATGTCATTGGCGTAGTTCCTCTTATTATAGTCTGGGTGGCGGATGGCTTTTCTCACTGGAATCACCTGCTGGGTCCTCTCCTGCTTCTTGATGTTGTGGGCCCCCAGGGTGACGTTGATTGAGCTGCACAGAGAGCAGAGAGGGTGTGGGGAGTGTGGTGTCACAGGAGGGCCAGCCCCTGTGCGGAGCCATGTGGGGTTGGTGACATAGGGGCAGAGCAGGGCTGCAGCTGAGGGGAAATCAAGGTGACAAAATGGCCTGGAGGCCGAGCTCTCCATACCCTGTTTCTTGGCAGCCGAGGTGTGATTCTGGAGCCATTGTTAAAGGCACGGCAGTTCTTGAGGGTCAGTACCCCCCGCAGGAAAAGAGCTGAAATTGCACTAGTGTGCATTCTGATACCCAGGCATGCCCTACCTTTAGTCTTTTTTGCCTCAGCAATGCCGCTGGCACTGACCTGCCCCTCTCCCCACTGCCCGCCTTCTCACCCTCTCAGGAGCCCTCCCAGCTCATGTGTTCCTAGGAGCCTGGTTGTTCCTGGAGAAAAAGGTAGAACTCCCTGCCAGGGGCTTTCAGGAGGGTGGGGGCTGCTGGCTGCTTCTCACCTTCCCCAACAGTGAGCGGCGGTCAGCACGAAGTCCTCTCGTATCAGGAACCCG